GGAATCTGAAACGCAGGGAATTCTCAAAACTTTGGGTCTGCGAGCTGAAGTTTAGAATTAAACTCAAAATTTGATCTGAATCCTTAGAAAAGGGCTTCCAAATTTAGGTGTTAGAAGTGAGAATGTGGGTTTATGGTTTAAAACAAAAAAGAAAAAAACACGTTAGGTGGTTCCCAAAGGTGGCTTAGGGTGGTTTAGGATGCTTTAGGTAGTTTAGGTGATCCCAAAGGTGGTTTGGGGTGCTTTAGGATGGTTTAAGATGGTTTAGGATGGTTTAGTTGATTTAGGTGATCCCAAAGGTGGTTTAGGTAATTTAGAATGGTTTAGGATGGTTTAAGATGGTTTAGGTGATCCCAAAGGTGGTTTAGGATGCATTAGGATGCTTTAGGTGGTTCAGGTGATCCCGAAGTTGGTTTAGGTGATTTAGAGTGGTTTAGGATGGTTTAAGATGGCTTAGGTGATCCCAAAGGTGATTTGGGCTGGTTTAGGATGATTTAGGGTGGTTTAGGATGGTTTAGGATGGTTTAGTTGGTTTAGGTGATCCCAAAGGTGGTTTAGGATGATTTGGGGTGGTTTAGGATGGTTTAATTGGTTTAGGTGATCCCAAAGGTGATTTAGGATATTTAGAGTGGTTTAGGATGGTTTAAGATGGTTTAAGTGATCCCAAAGGTGATTTGGGGTGGTTTAGGATGGTTTAGAGTTGTTTAGGATGGTTTAAGATGGTTTAGATTATCCCAAAGGTGATTTGGGGTGGTTTAGGATGGTTTAGAGTTGTTTAGGATGGTTTAAGATGGTTTAGATGATCCCAAAGGTGATTTGGGGTGGTTTAGGATGGTTTAGAGTGGTTTAGGATGGTTTAGGATGGTTTAGTTGGTTTAGATGATCCCAAAGGTGATTTGGGGTGGTTTAGGATGGTTTAGAGTGGTTTAGGATGGTTTAGGATGGTTTAGTTGGTTTAGGTGATCCCAAAGGTAGTTTGGGGTGGTTTAGGATGGTTTAGAGTGGTTTAGGTGATTCCCAGAGGTGATTTAGGGTTTACTTTGAGCGCTGGTGAAACCCAGAGAAAAACTTCCTAACTATTTCTTAATGAGGTAAGAATTAAGGAAAAAGTTAAGGAAAGAGTTAACAAATCCCACTCCAATTTCTGTGAGATTTGTCTGGGATATATT